CCAGGGGAGAAGGTACCATCCTCACCTGGGCAAAGCCTCTCGCTTCTGGAGAATGGTTAAATCCTCCACCGGGGAGGGGGAGGGGGGTGTCTGTGGGATGAGCGGGGTGGGAGGCCGGGGGAAGGTGTGCACTTGCTCCTAGTTTACTCATTGAGGGAGGCTGCCCCTCCCTTGACATTATCGAGGTTCAAGGATTAGAAGCTGCTTCAGACTCGCCAGAGATGAAGAGTTTTTGGAGAGGAAAGACAGTCTTATGGCATAGGACAGGCCAAGGCCTTGGGAAGCCCATAGGCTGTTCCTGGATCTGCCACTGACTTACTGGGTGACCTCGGGCAAGTCACTTCACCAATCCGTGCCTCTGTTTCCCCATGTATAGTGGGATGTACTACACTTGCCCATTTTGGGCTGAAATTAGTCACATTTGCTAAGGGCTTTTGAGAACCTGAAGTGGAAGTTGCTATAGAAGAGAGTTATTGGCCCCCTTCCCCATTACCTCCCTGGGATGCTGTTATGTGCTTGGATGTAATCCCTTGGCTCTTTGTTTACTCTGTGGGGCATTTTACACAGCTGTGGAGCTATATGTAATGATCACAATTCTGAACGCCATCGCTGGTCCCCTGCTCTGTATTGCCACCGGTTACACTCCCGCGGTGTCTAGTATCGCCCTGTTTCTTCGCACATTACGATGCCAAAAAACCCCTCCTTCCCAAACTTGTTCTCTTGAGCGCGGACGTGTCTCTTGAGGAGGTTTGTGTCTCTTTGGGAGTTATTAGATGGGAACCCTTCCTTTGCAGATGTGCTTCTCAGGGTATAGCTACGCTGCAATCACTTTCATCTAGCCAGATCAGTCACCAGAGCGGGTGAAGCCGCAATAGCCCTGTGAGTGATTATGCGCCGATTTCACTGCTCCAGTATCGGAGCTAGTGAGATTAAAGTGCGCTCGGGTGCATCTGCACAAGCTGCGATCACACCTCTGATTGTAGTGTGGACATACCCTTAGAGTTCCCCTTCCCTCTCTGGTGGGAATCCATTGCCGATGTCCCCATGTGTCTCTTGAGGGGGTCCCCAGCTCACTGAAGATCTCTCTCTTTCATAGGGATGCTGCCATCAGAGGAAGGGGGTTCAGAGACCGAGAGCCTGTATGAAATTGAGGGCATGAACAAATGGATTCTCTTCTTGTGAGTATATACACACACACACACACACACACACACACTCTCTCTCTCTCTCTCTCTCTCTCTCTCTCTCTCTCTCTCTCTCCTGCCTGATCCTGACTCTCCTGCTCTTGGAATCAATCCTGTTGTAAGAGCCCCTATCGGAAGAGCTGGTAGTTTTGTTGGGGGGGTGGATACACCATGTTCAGTGCAGCCCACGCAAAGGTGGATTTTGCTATGTCCGGCTCTGGAAAAAGGCTAGTTCAGGTGGTATCCCGCCTCTTCTTTTGGGGGACCATGCATCAAGGTCCTCTCCACTATCCCTCCTCCTACCCAGCACACCCCAGGGCTCCGGGAACTGCATGAGTGGTGTCAGGAAATCCAAGGTCATTCCAACTGATGAACAGGTGAGGCCAGCGCACTCTTTAAGGGGCAGTGACCTCTCCAGAGCATGCACAGGACCGGCCGCCATGCGGAAGGGAAGGCATCTCATGGATCCTGTGCTGGGCGAGCAGCCCGGACACCTGGGCAAGTGCCTTAGCTTCACCATCTGTTCCTATTCCTTGGGCAAGTGCCTTAGTTTCACCATCTGTAAAATGGGGATAAATGAAGCACACTTCCCCAGGGCTTTGAAACAAGTTGTTCATTAACACACCAGCATCTCCTTTGTTACCCTGGTGCATCCCCATTTGGCGTCGTGGTGATTGAGTGGGGACTTTGACTCTGTGCTGGTAATAGTTTGGGATGGAGGAAAGGTGGTAGAGGGGGGCAAAGCGGTATCCCTGCCTGCAGAACCCCTCTCCTATGCGTTTGCGTGGGTCCCTGGGAGCTGGTGGGCAGGGCGCTTTGCAATGACTCTGCCCTCTGGGGCTGGGTGCTGGGGGGGGCAGGGAGCCCTGAAGTCACCCCTCTTGGCCCATCTCTCTAGCCAGCAGTGGAGGCGATGGAACCGCCTGTTCCGCAGGAAGTGCCGCGAGGTGGTGAAGTCCAAGTTTTTCTATTGGCTGGTGATCCTGCTCATCTCTCTGAATACCCTGTCAATCGCCTCCGAGCATCACTGGCAGCCCGAGTGGCTGACCCGTGTGCAAGGTGAGCAGGGCGGCCCGGGGCTTGGGAGCCGCTGCCGGTTCAGTGCATCCATGGGCGTGCATGCGCACACGCCTGCCCACACGTGAACACCCACATAGACACACCCACACACACCAACGCACACATGTGCATGCGCCTGCGCACCACACACACACGCAAAAGTGCACGCACACCCCCGTGCCTGTGTGCACATGTAGTTTCCTCCCGGTCTTGTGTTTCCCCTCCTGCGCACAGACCCGCCTCTTGCTGGGGTGGGGAAGGGAGCGTTCTGCTGCCGCTGCTCAGGGCTAGGAGCTGGGCAGGTAAGTGTGAGTCAGGCTCCTCTTCCTCCCTGCTGCGCTGCCCCAGGATCGTAGGCTGGGGGAGAGGGAGGCAGCAGGGGGGCGTAGTGAGAGGGTGGAGGAGGATGTGGTCTCATGAGCAGCTGCTAGTGGCCATCGGGGGATCTGCCGCCTCAGTCCAGAGCGCTGACCGGCTGGGTTCGCTGCTTGCAGACAGTGCCAACCGGGTGCTGCTGGCTCTCTTTGCGGCCGAGATGCTGCTGAAGATGTACGCGCTGGGCCTGCGCCAGTACTTCATGTCCCTCTTCAACCGCTTCGACTGCTTCGTGGTGTGCGTCGGCATCCTGGAGATTATCCTGGTGGAAATCAATGTCATGTCACCCCTGGGCATCTCCGTCCTGCGGTGCATTCGCCTGCTGAGGATCTTCAAGATAACCAGGTGGGGGCACCTCTCCCCAGGGCCTGGGGTCAGGCAGTACAGGCAGGGGGGCTTGCACTGGGAGGCTGGGCTGTCCTTACCCCTTCTGAGGCCTCAGGCATGACTACAACTATGAGCTGCCAGAGGCTGAGGAAGGGGAACTGGTGAGTTCTCCGGCCTCTGTGTGGCCAGGGTCAGGATACCTAGTGTCTGTTTACAACTCTGGGAGGGGAGTGGGGTCTAGGGGTTAGAGCTAGGGCTTAGGTGTCAGGACTCCTGGGTTCTATCCCAGCCACAGGAGGGGGGTGGGGTCTAGTGGTTAGAGCAGGGAGGCTGGGAGTCAGGACTCCTGGGTTCTGTTCCCAGCTCTGGGAGGGGAGTGGGGTCTAGTGGGTCAAAGCAGGGGGCGGGGAGCTAGGACTCCTGGGTTCTCTCCCTGGCTCTGGG